CCCTCGTCACAGTCTAGCCACACTCTTGCCACGGTCCAACGCGAGGAAGCGCTGGACGCCATAGATTTGGACCACGACGAGCGTCAGACAATACCGACGCTCCGCACTACAAACGGAGGTGAGTGACTCTGTTTTTGCCCCTCACGTCACCACTAAGGAGGATTCTGTGATTAAGACTGTGTTGCCGGTTGAGGGGCCCGGCTGTAAACCAATGAGCCATGCCAAGCCAAGCTCTGAGACTGAAATTACTTCTGCCACAGCGTTCGGGGTTCAAGTGACTGCAAGTGAAGCTGCTAGCAGCAGCCCCACTAGCATGACAGCTAATGTCAACTCACAAGGGAAGACCTTCACGGACTGTGTTAATTTAACTTCTCTGTGTATAGACCCTATTGAGAGCTGTTGTTCCATAGAGTTTGGTAATGAAACTTCACCAGTGCACAATGCAAATCACGAACCCCCTGGTGCAGTGTCCAGAGACTGTTACATTGTGACTAGCCCTTGTTTAAATGTATCTGTTAAGAATCAAAGTTATGTGAGTATTTTTCAAGAAAAGCAGCTGAACAACTCAAGGTCTGAGATTCTGTCTGAATCGTGCTGTAATGTGCAAAGCACCATGTTGAATAGAGCTGAGAGAGAAGCCAAAGAGAACTTGGATCTTGTCCATGATGCGGTTAAATCAAAGACTGACTCTGTTTTAGCTCGTGTTGCGAGAAATTAATGTTCTGGATCCCATGGTTAATAAGTGTAACCCATCTTTACAAACTGTTTTTCCGAAGACCAGTAATGATCCTGTTCAGGATTTAAAATCTATTAGTGATCTGGTAAACTGTGAATTCATGGTCAAGTCGGTGTCTAGAGATGGTCATGAATCGCACTAAGGGAGCAACAAATAACTCGGGCTGCATTTCTGATTCTTTACGTGTTAAGCAAACTGTGTTGGTTGACATGACTTCTTCCATGAATGACACGCAGTCAAAGCCATGTTATGAGTCAGAGAACACTGTGTTTAGCTCCACTGAGAAGACAACCACTGATAACGGAAGCTATGATAATAACTTAATAAAACAAAGTACTGTTTCAGGTGTTGCTTCC